AAAAAAAAAAAAAAAAAAAAAAGCAAGCAAGCAAAGCCCCACGGTTGATTCTATTATACCTGCACCAAGAAAGAGGGAAGAGTGGTACACGAAAGTAGAATGATAAGAAGTATGGGGAAGAGTCAGCCGAAAAGAAATGCGCGTCCAGCTTAGCTTGGATAGCATGAATTTGCAGATTTAATAATGATCTTGATATTTCCTCCATCAGTATTTCCTAGTTCAAAATCAATAGTACAATGGTGAATCACTGTTAGCAGGAGTGGAAAACAAAGCAGAACACAAAAGTAGATGGTCATACCTGACCAGGAATGAAAGGGTATCTCGGATAAAGGTGATGGCAGTGCAAAAAAAAGTAGAGAGACTGGAGAAATATTAGGAGTGAGACTTAATGAAAAATTAAGTATAAGAAATGAGAAAAAGAGAAATGACTAATGATGCTTAGCTTTTGGCTTGAACAACTGGGTTGATACTGGAGCCATTTATTAAGATGGGGAGGATAAGAGGAAAACAGATTTGTGGAGGAAAAGCAAAGTTAGAGAAGGAATCAAACATTGTAATTTCACACGGTTTAGGTGTCTGTGAGACATCTTAATGGAGGTGTCAAATAAGTCATCGTGGATATGAGTCTGAAGGACAATGCAGAAAGTAGTGAGCAACAGCTATAAATTTGAGCCTTGACATTATATAGATTCTATTTAAACTCACAGGAATGCATGAGCTCACCTTGGGAGGGAATGCAGATCACAGAAACAAGAGTCTAGCCTTTGGGAACTACAGCAGGCCCTTGAATAATGTTTCATTCAATGTCTGTTGTTGTAATATTGATGAGGCCAAAAAAAAAGATCGATTCCCAGCCAGGGCCACCATAGATGTCGAGTTTGCAGGTTTTCCTCATGTCCATGTGGGTTTGCTCTGGATACTCGTGTTTCCTCCCCATCCCAAAGATGTGCACGTTAGGTTAACTGGCTTGTGTAAATTGTCCCAGTCTGAGTGAGGGTGGGTGGGTGTGTGAGTGTGCCCTGCGATGGAAGGGTGTGCTGTCCAGGGTGGGGTCCTGCCTTGTGCCCTGAGCTGCTGGGAGAGGCCCTGGCCAACCTCAACCCTGAACTGGAATAAGGGGTTGGAAAATAAATTATCTTACTTGTTTTTATTAATCTTCCTTAAATCTATGCCATAGCTCACATTTATTTTGATGTTTAATATTAGAAGTGTTTTGGGTCTTTATTTACAAGTTGGTGTAGGAACTTAACTCTCATACCAATTAACCTATGGTAACACACGCTTCATTATAGTATATTGTTTTCCTTAGTCACAGTTTCCAAGAGCCTATCGAGGACATTAAATGAGGACTTATTGTACAATATTTAGAAGTCAGGTGAAGAATGAACCACTAAGGAAACTGAGAAGAAACAGCTGGGAACATAGGAAAACAGGGTATTTCAGGAAAAAAGAAGAACAGCCTGAGTAAGTTGAAAGTGAAACACCATGCAGCCAATAAAATTACACACAAAGTCTAGATTTATTGGCACGGAGAAATGGTTATGACCACACGGCAAAGAGAATGAACTCTGGAATCCTCTGCCTAGGTTCAAATCTCAGTTCAACCACTTAGTAGCTATGTGAATTTTGGCAGGTTATTTATCCTATGTACCTGAATCTCCCCATCTGGAAAATGGGAATAATAGTAAAAATATCTATCTAGGACTATTGTGAAGATTGGTTACTATATACAAAATGCTTACAAGCCTGCCTGGCATGTTGTAACTGCTATAAAAGTGTGTGTTACTATTTATTGTTGCACAAAAAAACACAAGTACAAAACCATGTAATATGATCCTTTAATATACATATATGACATACACACACACACACACACACACACACATATATATGTTACACATATCTTTAGAAATAGAAAATTTGGAAAGTTACACATCAAAGTAATAAAAGTACTTATCTCTTAGAACTACTGGTGATTTTAAAAAATATAATGTTGGCTTATTCTCTTATTATTCTACTATGTACATATTCATTATATAAATAAAGGAATTTTTAATTTCAAGGGAGAATAATTAGAATTGATGCAATTTTTATAACTCAATGGGGAAAGGTTTCAACCTTCCTAGAATAAAAATAATAAGGATAAAATATAAATATCCACTGAAAATAATTTGACACTAGTTTTGCAAATCCTCAAATGTTTCTAATTATCCAAGCACTAAAAGGATACCAATAGGCTGGTTACCTTTATGTCTGAAAAATGGAAATGAAGAGAAGACATGATAAAAGGAGATTTTCACATTTTACTCTACCTAATTCTAAGCAATTTAGATCTTTGAGAGTGAGAATGTATTCATATACTAATTTGTGTAGTTTTAAATAAAATAACCACCAGGAAAAAATTTAATGTCACTTAACACTTTAAGTACAAATATAGTAGGGAATATCACAAAACCAACTAAAGAGAAGGTTCACAAACAACAAAATAATAAGATATAACTTCAAAAATAAAAATACTAAAAATATTTCCCGTTAACCATGAAAACTTTATATACATCTCTCCCAAATAATCATATGTAAAACATATATGCATTATGTTTAAGAAGGATAATTTATAACTCTAGTTTTAGAACTTAGACCACAGTTTCTTTTTGACACTATAATACTGGCCAGCTCAAAATGAAAGCTCCATGAATGCAGGTGCTTTGTGTGAGTGAGCATCTATATAATGTATTGCCAATGCTGATAATAGCATTGCTACTCATTCAACATTTGCTACTCAATTAACCAAAGTAATATCTGAAGAACAATGTATATTCTATTAATAGAATGAAGACTATCTGAAGACATTTGCAAGGCTAGAATTTGTAACTTTCTTTCTCAAAGAAAAGGGGGTTATATACAAGATAAGTTAGTAAACATAAAAAAAGAAGCAAGCATGCACACCATGGTCAAAAAGTTGACATCACTGAAGTTTATCCCAACATACATAGATACTGTCACGGTGTGAACTGTGTGTCACTGTCTCCTCACCACTACTACCAAATTCATATTTTAAAGTGCTACCTTCCAGTACCTCAGAGTGTGACCGTATCTGGAAATAGTGCCTTTAAAGAGGTGATTAAGTTAAAATGAGGCTGTTAGGGTGGGCGCTAACCAGTGTCCTTATAAAAAGAGAAACTTAGAAACTACATTAAAGCAGTCCAAACTTCCTTTACTATTTTGGGCAGCCTCATCACCATTAACTCTTGCCAGGTTTACATTCAAGGAAAACTGTTCTTTAATTCAAAATTACTATTAGGCAACCTATTCCTTGAGTTCTTTGCATCCAAGTATAGGTCAATACTCAGGTTAAATTTCACTTCTATCTGGCCAATCATCTTCCCAATTGATAATTTCTAGATTTTGGGTCATCATCTAAAATCATCCTTATACTTCAGTTGCAACTCATTTACAAAATTATTCAACATGCAACCACTGCCTCCATCGAAGTTATTAATAAAATGTTTAATGAGAGAGGAGAGAACCCTAGAACCTGTCCCTGGGGATCTCTGTCCAAGGTACCATTCATGACTTCATCAGCCTCATTAGAGTAGTTATTAAATCGTTATAAAGCTGCCTACCCATCTGCTTATTCATTGACATTTCTCCATATCATCCTCAAGTATGTCAGACTTTCAAATCTATTATAGACATATATTCTACCTCTTGCACTGCCCTGACCTACAAGTTCAATAAACCTATCAAAGAAAAGGAATGACAAACATTAGTCTATGAGCACTTCTTCCTGGAGAAACCCATGCTGGTACACAGTGACCACAGAGTAAAACACTGTTAAGTGAAAAACAGAATTTGACTCTGCCATTTAACTATAAGGATAAAAACAAGAGTTTCATACTCAGGTGATGAAAATAAGAATATTATTATATTATAGTTCCTCATTTAATACTACAAATGAAATACTTATTGCAAACATTTATAATATTTCCAGTTGGTACCACTTTTACCTGCAGAGATAAATTTCGTATTTACTTTCAGTTATTAAAATGTCTTCCTCATATATCTAAATAAATCTCAGCTCATTAAGCAAATAATCTGAACATACTAAATAAAAACACAGTAGCTCTGGTGTAATATCAACTGCTAGACAAATCATGTGTCAAGCCAAGTCGGCCTTATTCTAAATCTCAGTGTTTCAGAGCTAGAAGAGACCTGCTGTTTACAGCACAATTGCCTCCTTTTGTAGATGAAGACACTGAGGCTCTCAGAGATGGAATGAATTGCCCAAGCTCAGAAAGCTAATTCTGGCATGGCTGGGCATAGAAATTAGGTCTACTCAGGGGCTACTGATAATGTTTCACAAAACTATGTCTTCAAAACATAATAATAATAAAAAGAACAAAACACTTTCTTACCAACTGGACTTCGCCAAAAGCACCTCTTCCAATAACTTTTACAACATCGTAGTCTTCTGCCTTCATCTGTAGACCTCTGATTTTTTTCACAATTTTCTCATCTACAATAAAAAGATCACAATATTTGTAATATTAATCATCATATTTATAAACAATATTTTTAAAATAATCACCTATTTATAAACAAATTTTTTTACTTCAAAAAACTGGGTTTGGTTTTCAGCTAAATCTCTCGGTTTTTTGTTTGTTTTTAATTTTATTGGGGAACAACCATGGTCATTGGTTACACATTGCTTTACTGCTACAATGACATAGCTGACTCTTTTAGGGAGAGCACAGCTCATAGTGGCCCATGCGGGGATCGAACTGGTAACCTTAGTGTTATCAGCACCACGCTCTAACCAACTGAGCTAACCAGTCACCCCGGAATCTCTCAGTTAACAATCTTAAAGGTTGTTACTTAAAAATCTAAGATACACATTAAGTTTACATCAAAGAACCAAAACTTTATGGTTTATTAACACATATAAACAAACACTGACTACCAAAAAGTAGCAGTGACACTATTCTGTTTCTGACTCTGTTGTTTGGCAAGTTAAATGACAGCTGAAAAACTGATGACCCAGGCAATCCTGGAGTCCATTCTGAATCATGGAAAAAAGCTGCTATTAAATTACTTGTGAGGCTAATCTTAGTAATGCATTTTGGTGGCCTATTTCTTTGAAAAATAGTAATCACATATTATAGATATGGTAAACTATTGACAGGATTGTTTAATTAGGAAAATAGCCCAGACTCTGACAATTCCCAATGAAAGAGCTTATTGTGTTGATATAAAGTATATATTATTTTAAGAATTTCTTACTCTTAGAATTCAATTTCATTTACAACTTCATTGCAACATCAATATTGGCAAATATTAAGTTACCACATATATGGCAATAATTGTTATCACATTATCTTGTATTAACTAGACTGAAATACCTACATTTATATAACAAAGTTCATTAAGTCTTCTGGATAATGTAAAGCGAAGTCTTAGAGTTGTTAATATTAACTTAAAATTTCTCCTCGAACTGCCATAAATAACCTGAAACCACTAGTCTTAATAATTTATACAAAGTCTTGAACTTTACCTACTTTATATATTGCAATTGGTTCTACAGATTTGCTTTGAAAATAAAGAATATTAGTATTTCAATAAGCAGCAACCTAAAAAACACTTAAGTTTAATAAGTTAGTCAGTTTATGGACTTCAGTAATATTAATCAAGCATAAATCTCTTATCAAAGTATAGTTATGTGATCATATATGAAGTTTACATATACTTACATCTATTTAAGAAATTATCTATATTTTTGTTTTTCCTCAAAGCAGGAAAATCCAAATCAAGGACCAAGGAATTTAAGCCATCCTGTTTAACAAAAAATAAAAAGAGGAAGTTGTTACAATTCCACGCATTCAAAAAAAAAGTCTTTAAATTTTATCATATGTTGTTCTTGCTGAGTAACTGTCTCAATTTCAATTGGATATGAATTGCCATGGCTCCATATCCAACATCTTTAACTGGGTTCTTAACTTCTGCCAAAGAGTATCAGGATTGATGCTATCATGTTTTCCTTTGTTCTTTTAGCCAATAGAAAATGTCATTTTAAAATATGTATCTACTATTATTTTTGCTATTTAGGTATTTTCTTTTCTCTCTTCAAATGCCCAGTAAAATTTCACCAAGCTTTTGACTTTAAGAAGCACACTCTGGCTGACTAAGGAAGTTCCCATTCATTCAACAATCATTAATTTTGTCCCTAGTGCATACAAAGACTAGAAAATCCAATAAATAAATAAGACACTAACTATCGTTACCCTCAGGGAACTCAGCCTCTAAATTAAATCTCCCCTATAAACATGAAAACAGGATGATACATTATTCAGATTTCTATTCTCTTTCTTTTTCTGTTATTTACCAGACTTCCTACAACAAGCACGCATTAAATTTATAATCAAAATAGGAAAAGTACATACATATAACTTGGTAGGGATGAAAAAAACTATTAAGAAACAAACTAAATCTCAAATTAGTCAGTGAATATGCTTGTGAAGGAAACCACATTTCTAAAGCACTATCATATAGGTATATTGTCTCATCCCTAAGTGACCATGAGGAGAGCAGGATGAAATATACTCATTTTTAAAAACAAAGGCTTAGAGACATTAAGTGACTTCGACTTGCTTGAGGTCATACTATTAGGAAATGACACAGCAGAATACTAGCTACATCTTAGCAGTCCGATATACTTAACTCATCCCCCTAGTCCTAGTCTCAATGACCAGACTAACACCAGTGGGAGCTTGGAAAGATAAAGAAGCTGGAGGATTGCAGAAAACAAAATAGCAATAAAGAGACTTTTTGGAGATCTGGGTAGGGGGAAAACATGAATAAAATTACATGTAACATTTAGAAAGGTAACTTGAATTTTTAATTTACTAATTCTAGGAGAATTGCACATACTATGTTTTACCATTCAGTTATACTTCATATTTTTAATTTTCATTCTTTAAAAAATATGTCAATATTTAATGAAAACATTCTTTAATATGTAAGAGAAAGGCGCTGAGGTGCTAAGAGTAACCTAGAAACATTTTTAATGGTATTTAATAATTTATATCCCACTGGTATCCTTAACGTAGACACATTAAAATAATTTAGATTTTCCCGAACTGAAAGAAATAAATACATTAAAATAATAAATATCCAACTTCCAATCAAGTTGGGATTGTTAAATTCATACTTTGACACCCTCCCCACTTCCTGGGCCCACAATTCCCCTCTCCAGGATAGCGGAGTTGCTTTTCAAGGATTCCAGCATTTTTACCATACTAGGTTATTTTTAAGTACCAAAATATCAATATATCTTTATTGGTATAATTTTGATATTTTAATAAGTTTGAAATGTAAAACTTGAATCACTTATATTTTTAGACATATCCAGATTTATACTTTGCGTTAAAATTTCAAATCAAAGAAATGTGCATTCATTTGGAAAGCATTCTTCTGTATCTCCATTAACCCCCAAAGGAAGAAAACATTTAAATTGGTAAGGCATCAGCTTCTACTACAAGAATTATCTTCCTCTAGTTTACAGGCTTTCCAAACAAATGGAATATGAACATTTCATACTGAAATGATAAAACCTGTATTACAATCTCCATCTACACATAATGAAAAAAGAAATCTTTCTTTGAAACAAAACTATAGCTTGACATTGGTAAAAGGACTGAAACTTTGTTTACCCACAGCATCCCCAAAAGTTATAAAGACATGGGATTATATAAAAGTTAAATAATAGGAAAAAATCTGGAAATGGTTTAATAGATTTTGTTTTTTTTAAACCATTTTTTAAAGAACAAATAACAAATACGATTTCATTTGTGCATTAAGTTTTATTTTTATGTAGTATTTATTTTTGAATGATACTGTGGTACTTTAATCTGCTAATAGCTTATATTAGAAGAAAATGTAGGGACTAATAAGTATTTATAAATTTATATATATACTTGAGGTTTTATGTATTTTTATGTACATAAAATTTTGTGTGTACATTAAAATCTATGTAAATTTGCATTTGAAATTTATGCTATTTAATATCACTTTTTAAGAAACAAATTCTGAATTTTTTAAAGATATTAATATTTTCAGTGTATGAAAATAATACTGAAAACCAGTCTCTGGGTTAGCTCAAGACTTGAGTGAAAGCCTGTCTATGGCCTTCCTTCTCATGCAGTTTCATTTAAGCCTCAGGCAGTTAGATTGTTTTTTTCATTGTCTGTGATTTTCCACTGTGATTCTCAGAGAGTGATACTAAAACTGAGATAAAGAAAAAAAAATTTTAAGAATAAAACTTAAAAAAGTCTACAACCAAAACTTCAAAGCAATGAAAAAAATTAACACTATCTGTCCCTTGCCCCACTTCCAAATGCATAGAAATGACAATAAAACATTTAAAAGTCACAGCCCCACTGAAACAAACAAAACACATCACCACCATAAAATAGTCAAGGACCAGAAAGAAAACTGCCAAGAAACAACTAGAAGCTCAAGTCACAAAAATTCACTCAATTGCAGTGCGACTGAGAATTAAAAGGGACCCAAACCAGACGGATCCTGGGGGGAAACAGGGGCTGGAGTTAAAATCCTAGCTCCTAAGAAAGACACTGAAAAAAATATTACTGCCCAAGTTTTATATGAAACTGCATAACCAATTAGGTCAGTCACAGCTTTCAATCAAATCTTGAGCTAAATAAACCCCCAGCGCTTGCCCAGTTACTAGCATCTCCCACACCTCGAATACTAACTAGCAGAGAAATGTGAATCAGCTCCAATACTAGAACCGACTTTTCTATATATGAAAAGTTAGTAAAGGAGGAAAACAGAGAGAAAGGTGTATTATCCTACTACCTTTCTAAGTAAACAAGTACAAGCCAACTTCCAATTTCCCTAATTACAATTACTATAGTGGAAAAATACATATATAATAGCTTATTTCCCTAACTTTTCCTGAACGCACAGACTTTTAGACTTTAGCTATTAAGAAGGAATGAAGTACTGGACTTAATTTCACTTTCACTATAAACTGCTTTTAAATATCTCATTGTTTTTAAAGAAATAAAATGCATTCTCCCAAAAAAGGAAGGAGGCTGGAAAGTCTTCACCAAACTAGAATGTCTAAGTCATAAGCAAATGACGAAGACACCCTTCTAGAAATTTCAATTGTTAAAGGCAGCACAAATTATCCTTGAGCGGAACATTTTATAGGTATGAGCTGTCAGCATAGGGGTAGCATCTAAAGCCATAAAACTGGGTATGATCATTACAGAAGTGAGTGTGAGCAAACGAAAAAAGGACCAAGGACTGAGTCCTGGGATGCGTCTTCAGAGACTAGGAAGAAGAGGGGACCAAGAAGGAACCAGTCAGTAAAGGAGGAGGAAATCAAGGCTTACTGTGGTATCTTGCCAAGTCACTGTTCACTACCATCTTATTACTTCTGTTTTACTATGATTGCTGTACTTCTAGAAACAAAACAAAAACCTCATTTAAGATGCTACTATGAGTTTACATTCATAGACCCTAAATAACTAGACTATAAATTATATAATACCTTGTACTTTCTAGTCTATCTACCAAAAATTGTACCTAAATTATACAGGTCAATACAGTATTTACTATTAATAGAAACTTTTCTTGACTACTTTGTGCCACGTGCTATACAAAGCATTTTACGTGCAGTCAGCATTTTAAGCCTCACAATAATGTAGAATAAGTTAGCTATTATTATTATACCCACATCAGGCAGGCACAGAAACTTAAGTTTGGAGAGGTTAAAACACTTGCCAAGCCAACATAATTTATAAGGGACAGAATTAGAATGTTATGATATGTTTATACTTTTAAACATTACTGAAGTTAAAGTTAATAAAGTTATTCCTCTAATAAAACACTAAACAACATCCAGGTTTTAAAGTTAAGACAACAAAAGAATAGGAAACATATTTCTGTGTATCTGCTGTACAGATAAGTGACCAGGAAATGTTATTTAAATGAATCTGTAATACATTTCCTCCTTCTGTTACTACAACTCCAAATACAAATACAAAACTAAAAATAGTGAGACCAAACAAACCCATCATTAGCAAATAAAGTATAAATTGTTAAGCCAACCTACACACACACACAGAAAAACTTCTGAATCTTAAGTAGACTCCACTTTACTTTTTATGGCACACTTTCTATTTTACCTAGAAAAATATAAGTCATATTAACTGATCACCTGTCATTTATAATACGAGTTGCATAAAATCCTTATGTTTATTTTACAATATAGCTTTTTAAGTACATTAGTCTAAGATCTGTCAACCAAATTAAATTACTAACTAAATTTATCCTGTCATCTAACAAAAAAGAATCTTGACTTGAAGGGGGAAAAAGTTACTTAGGAAAATAAGAAATAAAAGAGTACTGTGTGGAAGTGTCTTGCATGTATTTTGCATAATATAGATAAACTTCACTATAAACTTGAGTAGCTAGTTTAATATATTGAGAGAGAGAGAGAGAGAGAGAGAGAGAGAGAGAGAGAGAGAGAGAGAACGCCTCAAGCCACTTTTACAGTAAAGCTATTCCAGCATTTTAAAAATTTTCAAAGTAAAACAAACAAAGCTTTGTTTACTAGTGCTTTGTTTATAGAAGATAAAACAACTTGGGTCACATTTCCACTCAATGACAACAAACAGTTCTCCGAACCTGTTTCTAGCCAATTGTTCAATAATTAAACCAACAGAGCCTTTTCTTTCATTTTGTAACTAGAAGTTTGCCCATATGGTTTCCACCCACCAAGAACCTAAATATAAAAAATTATTTTC